AAATGTTTCGGGTATAATCTAAGTTGTGTTATTTAATAAGATAACTTCAAATTCGGTGACGTGTACTTTGCAGCAAAACAAAGCATGTTCCTTAAACTCATGCATTTATTCATCCAGTAATTACCAAATCTTAACATGCTAGGCACTATCTCTAGGCACTAGAGAGTCATACAAAAAAGAATCATCATACAAAATAATTATGTATGTTAAAAGTATGCTGTGGAAGCATAGGAAAGAGAACTTTTTTCTTTTTTGGCCATGCCGCATGGCTTGCGGGATCTTAGGTCCCCAACTGGGGATCAAACCCATGCCCTCGGCAGTGAAAGTGCAGAGTCCTAACCACTGGACTGGCAGGGAATTCCCAAAGGGAACTATTTTGCAGAAGAGGTGACATTTTAATTGGGTCTGAATGAATGAGCAGAACTTGGTAAGTAAAAGAAGGGAAGTGAGACAGAGGGAACATCAGGTACAAAGGAATGGTATAGAGAAATGACATGATCTTTTTGAGAAAGCAAAAAAAAATTCAACAAGATGAGAATTTTAAGAATTGGTGGAGTGGTGGAGAAATAAGATTAGAGAGCGTGATTTTAGGGCAGATTGGGTTTACTGAGTATATTACGCTAGATAATTTGTACTTTATCTCCAGGAAACTTAACTGTGATCTTTAAGTAAGCAAGGGACAGGATCAGCTTTGTTGATCAGGAAGCTAACCCTAACAGCAGTATGGAGGATAGACAGGTTACACTGGGTGATAGTAGAGGCAGGGAGACAATTTATGCAGATGTACCCAGGGAAGATGAATGAACAAAACCAGGGAGCACAGGGGGGACAAAGGGTTGAGACTAACTCAGAAGGTATTTCAAGAGCAGATAAAAAGAGAGAGCATTTAGAGAAAGGGAGTATGTGACTTTGGGATGTTTTTTTTTTGGGTAGATAATAATACCACTAACTGACAGGAAACCCGGAAGGAAGAGCAGGTTTCGGGGGAAGATAATGAGTTCAATTTGGAGCTTTGGATCTTCCACGTGGAAATATCTGATTAAAGTATGGATCTGGAAGTGAATGAAGGTCAAGACGGGGGATAGAGAGCTGAAGTCACATAACTAAGACAAATGGTTCTCAAACATTTGCATGTGTCAGAATCAATTGCTGGGTTGTACACTAGAGTTTCTGGCACGGGAGTTCTGGGCTGAGGCCTGAGAATCTGCATTTCTAACAAGATCCCAGGTGATGCTGCTAGTCTGGGGACCACACTTTGAAAACCTCTGAACTAGACAATATCCCTCATAAAGAAGGTGAAAAGTGAGAATAGAAGATGATCAAGAACAGAGTCTGGAAGAATACACATACTTAAAGCGGCAGATAGAAAGGGGGAGTTAGTGAAGGAAAATGGAGAAGAATTTTCAGAGAACGGGAGAGTCGGGAGAGGTGCAAAAGGGCAGATTAACTAGCATCAAACAGCTGAACAGGGTGAAGACTGAAAGCAAGTTACTGGATAAAGTAATTAGGGGGTCACTGTGGAGCTCAGTAAAAAAGTTATGTAGAGTGAGAGGGATGGAAAACATTGCAAGACATTTTTACAAGTACAGGCTACACTTTGAAAAGTTTGGTTGTAAAGCGTAGAAGGGAGAAAACAGAAGCTTGAGAAGGCAGAACACTGTGGGAAAGGTGATTTAGAACGAAAGAGTCGAGTACAATTGTAAACTAAAGAGGAAAGATTAAAAAAAAAAAGAGGAAAGATGGAAGAGAGGAAGGTATGGAAGATACAGGAACAGTTAAGATAACTGAGAGTAAGGATCCCATTGGAGGTGTAATGGTCTTAGATAAAAGAGTCTGCTCTTCTTCTGAGATGGAGTGAAAAAGGTTACGAGTAGACACTGTTAGAGCTGAAGGGAAAGGAGGGAGAAGGAAGCTGGGAGACACTTGCCTAAAGCCTCTGTTTTCTCTGCAGAGCTGCCCTATAAGAAACATTAAAGGTGCTTCTTCTGGAAGATGGAAAGCAATGCCAGATGGAAATCTGAATCTGCATAAAGGAAAGAAGAGTGCTGAAAATGTTAAAAATCTGGGGAAATGTACAAGATACCACCTCCTCATTTTTTATCTTTTTAAAAAATACTTGTTTAAAGCAAAAATAATGTTATAGGATTTATAACAAAGTAAAATGTATGACAAAAAGAGCCCATAAGAAAGAGTGAAAATCCAAGTATACTAATATAAGGTCTTATCCTTTATGTAAAGTGATATATTATTATTTGAAAGTAGACTGTGATAAAGATATAATAAGACCTAGATCAGTAGTTCTCAAAGTATGGTCTAGGGTTTAGAAAGATTAGATCCAGAAATTCCAACCCCTCTCTAACAAAAGTACCAGAAGGGGAGACTCACAGCATCCTGTGGAAAGGAAATCTTTTTAACCTAATGTTTCCAAAACTTAGCTGACCACAGAACTCACTTTTCAACACCTCAAGAACTACTGTTACATGAAATATATTTTAAAAAAATATTACTGGTTCTGAGATGTTAATAAGCGTTAAAAGATACCCTCATCACAGTATCAACACAGATATGCCTTACTTTAAACAAAGTGTGTATTCCCGTATCTAATATAACAGATTAGATATTCATTTTGAAGGAAAAAAGCCACAGGCTTTGGGATATCAAGCAGATCTGGGTTTAAATCACCATTTGCTAGATATGAGACCTTATCTTTATTTGAGGATTAAATAACATAACATGCATAAAAGAACTAAAAGTAATCTGCCACAGAGTAGGTACTCACTAAACAGCAAATGATGGGGACTTCCCTGGTGGTACAGTGGGTAAGACTCTGCGCTCCCAATGCAGGGGGCCTGGGTTCGGTCCCTGGTGGGAAACTAGATCCCGCATGCATGCCACCACTAAGAGTCCGCATGCTGCAATTAAAGATCCTGCACGCCGCAACGAAGACCCAGTGCAGCCAAAATAAATTAATAAATAATAAATAAGTAAATAAATATGAAAAAAACAGCAGATGATGACGATGGTGATAAAAGAGGGAGGGGTCTTTTAAATAGTACATCTCAGCACACTTAAAACGAAATTCAGTTCTCAGAAGTTACAACTTTTTGAGAAGCATGGAGTGAATCTTCTCAATCAATGTTTTTAAGAGCATAATGTAACATAAAATGTGTTCACTGTGATACCCAACTAAGAGGCTTACTTACTGAGATAGAAAAAAGATTTTACCACTATGCCATGCCATGCACAGACTTCCAATGAGGGCACTGTAGCAAACTGTTTCTTGTAAAAGGCAAAATAACAGAGATACTCACTAAAATCTTACTAATAACGGGGTTGTAATTTAAGTTAATTTTCTCACTGAGATGCTGGGCAATACAGTTCTAGCAGTCATTGTTGGGTAATATTCATGCTAGTGAATTCATCAAGTAATGGTCACTGAAGAGGATTCGGACAGGGGGAAAGAAAGTGATAGTTATTCCAGGCAGTGAAAATTAGATCTCTGTATGGCCACAATGCAAGAAGCAAGTCGCAATGATAAAGGATAAAGTTGTGCGTGTCCAAGAGCATATAGAGAGAGCCTTGATAGCTAGGCAGAAGAGTTCTAATTTGATTTGACAGGCAGGAGGAAACCACTGTCAAGTTCATCAGCTTAAAACTAATGTAATAAGGGCTTCCCTGGTGGCACAGTGGTTGAGAGTCCGCCTGTCGATGCAGGGGATACGGGTTCGTGCCCCGGTCCGGGAAGATCCCACATACCGCGGAGCGGCTGGGCCCGTGAGGCATGGCCGCTGAGCCTGCGCATCCGGAGCCTGTGCTCCGCAACGGGAGAGGCTACAACAGTGAGAGGCCCGCGTACCGAGAAAAACAACAACAACAACAACAACAAACTAATGTAATAAAAACAATGTTTAAGGTAGACCCATCTACTAATGACGTTCAATTTGCATTGAATAGGGAGTGAGTCAGGAAGCCTACTTTATTACTTGAATGATGGTTGAACTGAGACATTAGTAGACTACAGTAGTAAGACATACTTGTTATATAAATAAATGAACAAGTGAATTATGTTAATGTACAAATAGACAAGATATGGTCATTATCTATTCAAAGAGGATGAAAGAGCCAGGTTGAATCAAATGGGTCCATGATGTTAAGGTCAGGTGATGGGGAGAATGGTGCTACCAGGAAAACTGGGAGGGGCATCTCTAGGGGAAATTTGTTAAGGTACCCCAAAATTAAAATGTTCAGTAAAAATTTTAGATATGAAATTAGATTTTAGAGAAGTTGCCTTTGTATAACATATTTCCTTACCCATAAATATACAAAAGTAATTTATATTAAATGTGTCATATATCCTGTGATACAGTTTTCCCCAGGTAGCATTATTTTAAATTATATTGGCTTAGGCTATACCGAAATCCAATTTAATGACTGCCAGCCCAAAAGCCAGTAGGACTGGATTAAATTTGTCTTTTTAAATGGAATTTATATAAAAACCCCTGTGAATTTAAGTATTATAATTCCCATTTTATAGATAAGAAAAAATATAAGGCAGGTTTGAAAGGGATCAGCAAAGGAGTGATAGATTTTAATGGAGTGAATTGACTCCAGCAATGCTTAAACCTAACTAACTCTAATTTATCCACAAAAATTGACAGGGACAGCAACACAGCAGCACAAGAAAGCAGGTAAGCCCAAAGTTAATGATAATATAGAATTGGAATATCCTATTTTGCCACAGAAATCTTAAAAATCAGGTATGTCTGATTCTCAAACTAATATCTAGAGATAAGATTAAGTGAGAGTTCTTTTCAAAAATGTGTTCTGCATACTGAGAACATACAGTGTAGTTTCCACCATGAGCAACAACCTGGGATTGAAAATCAAATGAATAGAATGGGAAGATAGACCTCTTAAAATCTGAACTCAAAGGTTCCTGTTTGTACCTAAGAATATAGAGAGATAGGATATCATTATGAAACAGTATATCTAATTCTTACCATTAATAACTGGTGTGTAAACAACAATCCCAGCCAAGTTTGGATCAGATACAGTTGTGTCCAGAATAAGGCCCCCAATGCTGAAAGAAGCAAAAGCATATAATTTAGGGAAGAGGAAAGGAAATGTACTAATTTGAAGTTGTTCTTTATATACAAACACCCCTACTTTTAAACATAAAATATTTAGACATTTGAAAAACTGAATAAAAAGAAAAAATATTCAAAGTAAAAATCACTGTCAAAAGCAAAACGGTGAAAACAAAACATGGCATAAGCTGTAGCCCCACGTTTCAGGGCTCTCCTTCTGGTCTACATGTTTACATACGTTACATGTAAAAAGGAAAAAAGCATATACTTTAAGTGCATTAAAATGTCTGGAAGGACATGTAAGAAATTATCAACAATGTCCACCCCTAGGGGTGACACTGACAGGAGACTCATGGTCATTTTATATCCTTCTGTACTTATTAGTTTTTTAAAAACCATGTGCATTTATTACCCTTATAATTTAAAAAAATGTTTAAAGAGTATCTTTTCATATTTGAAGTAAGCAAGCCATTAAAGAGATGACTTTTATTGTGTTAAAACTAGATATAGTAGATTACAGTGTCTGACCATTGGTAAATTAAAACAATGAGTTGCAGCCATAGAAAGAGCTGATCTGAAGAACAGAGGTCTGGAAAAATAACATACAGCTATACAGTGGCAAGATATACACTCTCAGTGTCTCAATGGAGCTTGGAGATTTTTTGTTTGTTTGTTTCCAAGACCATTAACAATTGGTTAACTTCAGTCTGTTGGTCTACGTACTATAAAACAGTGTCAGTCCCAGTATTTCATGGGATCCTGTTGCCAAATCTTCCAGGAAAATGCAATTCACATTACAGAAAAATGAACTATATGCTGTCAGAGAACAGGGTTGATGGTCAAAGTATCAGATCAAATGTTCTTACCACTACCTGATAGTTAATATTAGGAAATTATTAAATCTTTACTATTTTAATTCTTTAATAATATAAATGAATGGCTAAATATGCCTAAACTGCTAGGAGTTCCCATTAAAAGGTATACTATAAAGTCTAAAAACAGTCATCCTTAGAAATATTTTACTACGTAAATTAAAAAAATATGTATTTCTTAGAATAAACTAGTTATATGTCAAAGAATAAATCTCCATGCCAAAACACACAGATCATTCTGTGTATATAACATGAACACTTGCTAAAATACATTTTTAAATATTTTTATTACCCAGGTGATAAAAACTTATCATAGAAAAATTAGAAAATACAAACAAAAAGAAGAAAATAAAAATCAACCATAGGGCTTCCCTGGTGGTGCAGTGGTTGAGAGTCCTCCTGCCGATGCAGGGGACACGGGTTCGTGCCCCAGTCTAGGAAGATCCCACGTGCCATGGAGCAGCTGGGCCCGTGAGCCATGGCTGCTGAGCCTGCGCGTCCGGAGCCTGTGCTCCATGACGG